GCAGCCCTCCCAACAGGACACTTCCTTGGGTAGGTTGGTGAGGACTCCGACTTGGCGCTTTTCAACCTGACAAATCTCCTTAGTTCCTTTCTCCGTCTCACAGCTCAGTCCACATTTCTCACCAAATGGACAGCAAGGAGCTAGCCCGATTGTCCTTTGAATCTGTTCCCATTTTCTACTGATGGTTGCATTAAGAGGTATTTTATCTTCGCACCCTGCTGGCATGTTGACATCCCCCTTAAAATCACAAACTACCTCCCCACCAACTGTACCCATCTTGGAGTCATCGTAAGGACAGGAGCAAGTGAAATCCTCAACAGGTCGGCCTAGATCCTTTCTCAGTTCGCCTCTGAAGCAGGAGGGAAAATAAGGAGGGTCCATAGTCACGTGATACTTATACCTCCCGCTGTCGTCGTATCTCCCACCACACTTGTCCAGATCTATCCGAGTCAGCTGTCGACCATTCTCTGCGATAGGACCAAATATCGGTATCCCGTCCAGAGCTACCCCGTATATAGGGGATTCCCCTCCACAAACAGGCATCTGTACACAGGGAGAATATTGGCGGTAGTGGTAGGTGTTATCCGGAGCTGTGGTACCCCTACACACATCAAACTCCTCACGTTCAGAAGCGTAGAAACAACCTTTACCAGTCTGCCACCAGCTGTAAATATAGGCTCCTGACACTGAAATTCCAATAGGACCCGAGGGTAGACAGGTCAACTCCTTCCCTTCAGCTCTCATTATGGGTTCTTTGAACATTGTGTAAGAGTTCCAGCTCTCCCGAACGGGGTCGGCAAATCTTCCAAAAGCGTGTGATGGCACACCGTTCGTAGTCACTGTTACCGAGCCATCTTCGTTGTCAACAGCGAACAGCTGACTTTGTAATTTGGCCCCGCTTGGAGATGTCTTAGGAACAAAACTTGCAAGTTCTTTGTCAGTGAGGCTCAGTGCTGGCCCTAGTAGAGAAAGCAGGGTAAGACAAACAACCAGCAACATATTTCTAAAAATATGAGGCTACTTCCGGTCTGAGTAGACAGCAGCACCAAATGTTTGTGCCACGTGACCGTGACTGTATTGGGCTATGCCACGTCAGGCGGGAGTGACGATGCGGTGAATTTGGTAGGTGTCAGGGATTACTGGGCTACTCTTGTAATATTATAGTACTAACCGGTTGCATTTGCCATCATTATTCGACTGAAATTCCGAAATCAGTCACCACTCCTGTTACCTTACTCGGGAATATTATAGCGGGTTAATTTATGACTGGGAAAATTAATGACCGGGAAAAATATGGCGGAATTTTCCAAAACCCACCAAGCATCAAAATGTATTACTATTAGTTTACCTTACTCGGGAACATTATAGCGGGTTAATTTATGACTGGGAAAATTAATGACCGGGAAAAATATGGCGGAATTTTCCAAAAACCACCACTTTATCCCAGTCATAATATTCCCGAGTAAGGTAATTCCACTTAAAGGTAGCAATCTCGATTATTAAAGAGCTGTTCTCGAGTCTCCAATTTAACTTCAATATCCCGATTTAAGCGTGGATTTCAGCATGTTTGACAGTTGACGTTAAATATTAAAAAACTGACTTTCATAACACCTTTATTCGTGGGCATTTTCAATTCTTGTCGAAGCCAAAACTATTCGAGGAAAGCTTTTGCATACGATGGGTCACAAATTCTATCAATCATTCGCCCAATTAAAATGTTCCACCCTATTTATATGTCACGTACCCCCACCTAGTGAGACAGAAAAATAGCAAAGTAGTGCAATAGTGGCCCACTTCATTCGTATATGGATTTCAACTCATCATTTCAATAATTCAGCAGAATTATTTGGTTCATTTACTGCAAGTGCAAACATTTAACTTAATACGATAACCAGACAGTTTGAATTCGAGGTGTAATCATTTTTAAAAGTGTATCATTTCAAGAGAAGCATCCAATATAATAGTCATAACTCTATTAGGGTTATGTTTTCGAACAATTTCACGTTAAAATACCGGTGACTATTGTTTAAGTGACCGTCTGGTTTCCCCAGAACCGAGTAGTAGCCTAGTCTAAGTTAATTTGGTTTGGACACATAGTAAGACAGCACAAATATAGGTGAATTCTTCGTATATTTACATCACTAGCCTATAAAAATAAAATTAGGTTAGACTAATGAAAGCAATTTAAAAGTTAACAACTTGAAAATTTAAAACAGATTTTAATCTGAAACTTTATTAAAGAGCTCAATGTGCTAGGTAGAATGGACAACAGAGCATAACAGATTATTCAGCGAGTAACTACAATCCTATTTAACCCAAAAATATTAGTTCTAAATTTTGAAATAAGAATGCTCTCTTCTCTATCAAGTGCTGTTGGTCGGACTTTTCTTACTACACCTAATTTAAAAACTCCCATAGTGAAATCAGATTTATGCGCTAGAAAACAATGCATGGAAAGTGCCGACTTCTCAAATGACAATTCATTATCAATTTTGAACTTGTTTCTGTGTCCATTCATTCTGATATGAAATGGAGAAACCGTTTGGCCGAAATAGGTATCGTCTTTTAGGCTCTGGGGAAGTTTATTACAAATTTGGCATTGGGCGACATAAATTATATTGCTGTCCTTACATGTCAACCGGAAATCCAGAGTTAAATCCAAACCATTGACAGTGATAACTTCGTTGGAGTTGAACAGTTGGGGACAGGTTGCACAGCCTCTCCCGCCACAGTTTTGGCTGACGGTGAAAGAATCCGTTTCGGAGCACGAACTGAGTTTTCTATTGCGCACTACTGTGTTGCCTAGTCTAAGTTAGGTAGTTGATCAGTGGGATCCATACTTTTTATAGAACCATACGGCGGGTAATTTATTGGTGATTAAGTTTTCAGAGCTTCTTCCTTCTCAGCAATATAAAAAGCCTTCATATCAAAGATTTTATATGACTATGAGCTGCAGCCTGCATATTCGTTGGTTTTGTCTTTTATCCTTATGTAGGGTGAATCTTATGTTAAAAGTGAAATTTTGTTCTTTTATTTATACTTTATTTTATATTCAGTTTGCTTATGTTTTTACAGAATATAAAATCCGTAAAATTATCTTTGTTAAATTATCATTACTAGTTGCGTCACTGCTGACCATTGGCATTAGGTTATTGGCATTAGGTTATTTAATTCATGCTTTCTGGTGAACGCTGATAACAATTGTTGCCGTTGACATGATCAATGGTCATCCAACTGAATTGAACAGTAATTCCCCCTGGCAACAGTTCCCCCTGGCAACAGTTCCCCCTGGAAAGCCAGGAGGATACGACCCCTGATACGTCAGATTCTGGGCAGCTCTCGCAATATTGTGGTATTAACCGATAGCTCTAGCCATCAATATTCCGCTCAAATTATGACATAACTCCTGTCAATTCGATTTAAAATTATCAACCTGATTATTAAAGAAGGCTCTTCTCAAGTCTCCGAGTTAACTTAAATATCACAATTTAGGGGTGCGACAAATTTTTGCACTTTAGCATGGATTTCAACTCATCATTTCAATAATTCAGCAGAATTATTTGATTCATTTACTGCAAGTGCAAGTGCAAACATTTAACTTAATACGATAACCAGACAGTTTGAATTCGTCTCGAGGTGTAATCATTTTTTAAAGTGTATCAATTCAAGAGAAGCATCCAATATAATAGTCATAACTCTATTAGGGTTATGTTTTCGAACAATTTCACGTTAAAATCCCGGTGACTATATTGTTAAAGTGACCGTCTGGTTTCCCCAGAACCGAGTAGTAGCCTAGTTTAAGTTAGGTAGTTGATCAGTGGGATCCATACTTTTTATAGAACCATACGGCGGGTAATTTCATGGTGATTAAGTTTTCAGAGCTTCTTCCTTCTCAGCAATATAAAAAGCATTCATATCAAAGATTTTATATGACTATGAGCTGCAGCCTGCATATTCGTTGGTTTTGTCTTTTATCCTTATGTAGGGTGAATCTTATGTTAAAAGTGAAATTTTGTTCTTTTATTTATACTTTATTTTATATTCAGTTTGCTTATGTTTTTACAGAATATAAAATCCGTAAAATTATCTTTGTTAAATTATCATTACTAGTTGCGTCACTGCTGACCATTGGCATTAGGTTATTTTATTCATGCTTTCTGGTGAACGCTGATAATAATCGTTGCCGTTGACATGATCAATGGTCATCGAACTGAATTTCCCATTATTTGCGACAAATTTTATGTATAGTTTAATGTATAGTTTGTTAAAAATCGCGGTATCGCGAATTTTGGCCAAAATAATCGCGAAATCCTATTGTCCCTGAACCAGGAGGTTACGACCTCTGATACGACAGATTCTGGGCAGCTCTCGCAATATTGTGGTATTAACCGATAGCTCTAGCCATCAATATTCCGCTCAAATTATGACATAACTCCTGTCAATTCGATTTAAAATTATCAACCTGATTATTAAAGAAGGCTCTTCTCAAGTCTCCGAGTTAACTTAAATATCACAATTTAGGGGTGCGACAAATTCTTGCACTTTAGCATTTGACAGTTGACGTTAAATATCGAAACCTGACTATTAAACCCGACACTATCAACTATGAAATGAAATCGACACTGCATGAGAGCTGATAATTTGCCGATATTTCCCGCAAGGGAAGCGAGGGTATTATTAGAATGAAGGTATGATTTAGTCCGATGATAGAAATTGATATTGACCGAAATTAAAAAGTAGTCATATCCTTGACAATAACTATAAGTTCATACTCATGGTGGAATATTTTTGGGAACAAATTTGAACGGACTTTGACTTGAACGGACTATAAACAAACAGACTTTATTTGAACGGACATTAAAAATGAACGATAGGGCCTCCAGAGTTAATTTAATGTTCGTTCAAATTATAAAGTCCGGTAAGGTAAGCAAAATGCGTTAACAAAATGTCAAAGATGACAAGAATGGTAGTGGTGTAAATCGAAATGATTATCAACTAACCCCATCCAGAATGGTTCCATTATCGCAGGGAATGAAGTATTTCGAGACATCTTTTCGGCTCTGACAGTTAACAAAACCTTTTTCGCACCACCAATCAGGTTGCCTAAAAGATCACTGTATAAATATTAATATTTAATTAACAAGGATCAAATAGAAAATTGTTTTTCTCACATTCAGACAAGCCTGATATTTACGTGCTTGTTCGTGCCACACCATCCACATACGAGTCCAGTGGATACATGTTCAGCATAACAATGTAACCAAAGGTTAAATAGATTATCAACCAAATTAAGATAAGATTCGACACTGCAGCATTCAACAACTACATCTGCCGCTAAAAATTATTTTAAAATAAAGTTAACCGATTGATTACTTACCTCGAAAAGATCACGTCCAATAGTGTCCTTGAGGACCCGACCAAACCAACAAGGAGATTAAGGAAATGTAAACGCCACTGAAATCGTCTTACTTGCACTGAGTCTATTATCTGAGTTAAATTTTAATCAAAACGATTTTATCACCCCTTGTTCATTAGTTCAAAGACAAAAGCTTCCGTCTCTGAATACCTTTGAGAGGTGAAATGAGATCACGGATAATAATGGTGAACTGTCTAAGAAAGTATGTTGCCAAGGATACCTAATATTTCAAACCGTTTCAATAAATTGCAGCATGCTATTCTTGTTTCTGACCCAATCAAAATCACGTTAGGTAGAATTCGAAGTGAGGAGGAAAATAATTAACAAATGAGAGTTAGGAAATCGTACAAGAGTGTAATATAAGACTCTTTATCAGTTGAGCCTAAGGTCGCACCATGCCGGTCGAATTCCCGATAAATATTGAACAACTTATGAAATTAAACGGGCATGGACGTATGACCTAGCGTGGTTTTCCCAGTGACCAAATTCAGTATTTTATTCAGAAATATGATGTTACCAAGTTAACACGTACCATGCAATGTTACTTTTATTTACGTGTCAGTTAAGGTGGGATAACTTTATATTTATAAAACAATCAAATTCCTTAAAATTTATTTTTGACAATCCGAACGAAAGTTTATTTGATATGATTTTGTGGGTCTTTGTAATGAACTGATCGAACACTTTAAAATCAGATTACTGCATTGTTTTATTATTGACGTTTTACCGTTTGAATTACATCAGTTCAGAGTGATTCCTGAACCGATACTTGCCGAAAACATGACCTTATCTAATGTAATTAGATAATCGTACATTTTTTTTAAATCGGGACATTTAAAAAAAAAGTATTATTTTTGGTTTATCGTTGACAAAATTTGTGGGAAAAATTGGATTACAAACAAAAAGTTCAGATTCTGCAAAAAGAAATATTTGTAATAATATTAATAGAAGCATACACATTACACATGGGGTCCCCATTGGGGGGTGGGGACCGTATCAGCCTTTCAAGATGTTTAAAGGATTAATCATCATTGGGTCTCCTGCCCTAGTAGTAGTTAAACATCCCAGACAGGATTTGATTTTATATTTCGATGGTTAGCACGTGGCTTAAGGCAATTTATGTTGCATATTTAGTTGGATGCAAAGGCAGTGTATAAGCAGTCGTGCTCATGAAATTTAACTAAAAATACACTTTAAATAAACCTGTCAAATATTGTAACTTTTTAGTCTGGGAGTATAAATTTGTGTTACATCGTAGAAGAAAACATGCTGACTAAGCTTACAACGCTAGACAAATTTCATAATTTTACCGGGAAAGTTTTCTGGGGTCCACTCCAATGACGTGATCCTCCCTATTAAAATTGTACCTTTTATTAGACTTTGTAGGGCTAAATTATGAGTCTAAAAGTCCAACTATTTAACGTTCGTACGAGTTGGCACCGGCACACTCAAAGTCAAGATATAAATTGCGTATACAAACGATGTCCACGAAGAGTAACATTGTGGTTTATATCACGTGTGATATGTCACGTGTTATCTCCGGGTTATCAGGTAATAACCGGGAAGATTCCTGAAATAATTGTTCAGTTACCTGTTTTAGTGTTTTACTCATGTTCGCGGGGGAAGTGTGTTTCAGTTTCAAGAGTTTTATTATATCCCATAATAATTATATTACGTTAGGAACATTAGTGATTTTAATTTCAAATTTGGCTGCACAAATTTGGTTACCTACATTTTAGTTTTGCCTAATAATTTTAGTAAACTTTAAAAAAACGTTTAGACATAGATTTCCGATGATAATCATTTAGTAGCATGTGAAGTCATAATCAAAATAATTTTGTCAAAATTTAACGTATTTATAATTTACCAAAATCGTAGTTGGCTATTAATTTATACGCCAGTTAATTAAGTCGCCTAATATTTGGTTAATTTAAGTCAAAAATTGTACTAAATTTGTTGTAGACTAAATATTTGGTTCTGTCATCATAAAACTGATTCTCAGATTATACAGTTGAACTATTATTTATCATATACAACTTTTTCATTTCTTTAGTCACAAACTGCAACTGATTTTTGCTTTTCCATCCGCGTTACGCTATTGTAGTCTATACCTTACGAGAAATATTTATATATTCGACATAATTCCGGTGACCTAAATGATTTGGGAACGAAAATATGGGATTTTTTGCCGAAAACCATCGTATTTCTTCCCCCAAATTAAATCATGGTATTTGGGGATTTTTTTATTTCTCTATTTTACAAAAATAATTGTTTTAACTTGACTTCCAATCCTCCAGACGGAATTATGGAAGACCGCCGGTGTTTGTTATCCTCTACTACTCCCGAAATTTCACCACCGTGGCAAATGAAATTATACTTATAGTAGCAGAGCTTGCTGACTTCTAATGGAACGTGTCCAACCGTCATGTATCATATTTATAACTTACTATATTGATAGTAAATCGACAAAGTCATAATTAAAGAAAATACGTGAAAAATAACAATAATAGTCTGAAAATACCACTGACTTTTGTACCTTTTAAATATGTCTCGTAAGGTATAGTAGTTAAAAGTTAAAGTAGTTAAAAAGTTAAATCATTTTAATAAAGATTTTAATAAAGATCAAAATGTTGCAAACCACGATAAACAAGAAAACTGGAAGAACTCGGGTTAAGCATCATTAATTACGTTATAAATATCTAAGTGAACAGGACCCGGTTATTGCAGGAATTTTTAAGTAGTTACTCGCCTATTACATATTACGTCCTGAAGTCTGCAAAGATGCTGTATAGTGTCTTGAGTCTTCCAGTTCCAACCGTTATATTTCGCGATTTCATTATCTCGTGCGATATTTTCCTTATCATAAACTCCAGATGGCTTCCAAATTTTAAGTTTGCATTTAACAGGAATTCTTTCTAGGGAATTGTAAACAACTGTATCCTGAATTCTTTCACAAACATTTTTAAATTCCATTATTTTATGATTGATTAGTGCCAGTGGGTTCGAAACATCATATTCCTATGAATCGGAACTGCAAAGGTATGCTATAAAATTCTTCCCCATCGTCGTGCCAGCGAGTATTTTATATGTATACAAATATATTAAATTTAAAAATCAATTTAAGTTGCACCAGATTTGAGATTCGTGAGTTGTGACGTACGACAGTAGGACAGCTTGGCCGGAATTTGACAAAAGTGCTTCGATTCAAGTAATTAACAATTAGGAATATGGTAGGTCAGATTATTTGATTATAGCAACCTTTTAAATAATCTTCGCTAGAATTGTTTCACTGAGCTATAATCTAAATCTAATTCACTCCCAAGAAGATCTCACTTGGCCAAATTGAATTGGTGTGCGTCGCGTCTTAAAACGTGTTGGTTACAAGGAAGTCCATGGCAACTGTCAATGAAGTACTCATGATATTTTCAACAAGTCTTATTCCCCATTCCTACCAATAAGCGGACACCACTTATTGCACTCTTACAGTGCGGCGATTGTAAGCGATCCTCTTTTGAGGTAATGCTTTTAGCTTGTTTCTATATAATATGTTTTAGTGGGTTTTTAAGGGTAGTGCCCACCGCTTATCATGTGGGCAACTGTGTTCTCAATTGGAGGTTCTTTGTGACATAAAACCTATAATAACATATAAAAATGATGGCAAATGATCGTAAACCGCACGTACGAAGTTTTCTACGCACATAATCGATATTTTCTTAAATTTACTTTAACTTACGTAGAATATTGTAAATGGTAAAACCGTCTGTTGATAATGATATACGTCATACGATATCATGATGAAGTACCCCAAGATTTTATGGAATATATGAGGTGAAACAGGCTTGCTGTTTTAATAGATTAAAAGAAACACGAATACATTTATCATCTATCAAGGAGATTGAATATCCTAGCTAATTACTCAGCCACCTGCTTAACTGAAGCATGAAGGCAATATCCTATTCCTTTATTTCTTGGCAATATACTTGTTTAAATGTTTCAACTATATCTTGAACGTATAAGTAGTTCAGACTCAGTAAAATGCAAATAAAGCGAATTAAACTAATATCACAGTAATGGCACAAGTTGTCAACCTTTCCACCTTGTAGAATGCGGTTTAATACTATTTAACAAGATGGCTAAATAACAGTCTACTATTTAACAAGATGGCTACATCAACTGGCGGATCTGTGAGTGAAATGGCAGGTACCGGACTGAACATGACGACCCAGGGCCCTGGAGTGTACACGACCCGTGTTCTGGTCATGTACACTATATCCAACGAGCGGATCTCATCCCTATACTCTCAAACTGAGATTATATTTCTCTTTGTTATCATGGTCATCCTACAGGTATTACGATTTTGATTTAGCTTGCCACTTTAATTTCGGTGATGGGAGGTAAGAATTGGTATGATAATTTCTGTGTCGATATAAGTGTCAATGATGTTTAGTCATCATGTAATTTTTTATAGCTGACGCATAATAAATAAAATATAAAATCGAATGTAATTAATGTCTTATCTTATTTTGGAATTATGCTTGGTAAAGTTTTGGGGTTTCTTTTGTTTAACCAGAAGTTGTCTTGGCATGGCGGACTCGGTTTTATTATCAACAGTAAATTTGTATCAAATGTTGTCTCGTACCATCAAATCAGTGACAGAGTAGCATACATGGACCTTTCTCTACCATCAAAGTGTCATGGGAAACCATCACTGAAAGCCCGTATTATAAACTGCTACAGTCCAACTAATGTCAAATCTATACAAAACCCACGCATTGCTGATGAGTTTTACTGTGAGCTCCAGGAAGCTATCAGAATTCCTGCCAGACATGAACTTTTCATCATGGGTGATTTTAATGCTAGGCTAGGGAAACGGACTAAATCAGATTTTGAAAGTGGTCTTCAAACTAACATGGGAAGACATAGTATTGGTCGGCGTAACGAAAATGGCGAAAGGTTGCTAGCTTTCATGATCACTAATGGACTCTATGCAGCCAACACTGCATTTTCACATGCGAGCAGACACACCAACACTTTTACAGGATGGATTAAAGACCGTAGATCCAAAAAGTCTGTACCCTGGTTTTCTCAAATTGATTATGTTTTATGTAGATCTAGAAGTACTCCTCTGCTTGTTGACGCTAGGTCTTACGCTGGTGCAAAACTTCAATCTGATCACAAA